TTTACGGCACTGAGGACCATGTGTAACACTCTCTCACTCTCGCAGGCAGGCCTCACACTCCAGCCACAAGACAAACAAGTAGAAAAGCTGGGTTCAGCAACAGTGACACCAAAAAGATTTTCAGGGGTCAGGGGGCAGTTGAAGCTATCATCCTCATGTTAAAAATGTTAACAGCAGTCATTAAAAGATGTTTTGCTCTCTTCTGTAGCATTTTTTTAGGTATGAGATCTCCTTCTTTCAGTCTCCTTTTAAATATCATTGGCACCCTTCTTCCTGCCTTAGTCATCAACAACCAAGTTATTAGCGTGCCAAGGTCCTGCATAAATTTTTGTGGACTTCTGATGTAGTTGGGATGAGGGCATCATTCCACACTTACAGGTTCTCCTACGCTGCAGCCCTTCAAGTGAAGTGAAGGATTGGGTACATACTCTGCTCTGAAAGCTGACAGTTCACCCCAGAACAGCAGTTTGGGAGCCCTCTTAACCCCTTCCTAGAGAGAGGGGTCAGCACTGCAGGGTTCTCCCCATGTGTCTGACTTGCACATGGAAAGTCACGGCAGAAACCTCCTGGAGATGATACTCCACCTAAAGACTAAAAAAACATGCACGCAATTCCAACTGGTCTTTTCCAGGGATCCACTCAAGGCAGAAAGGCAGAGTAATGTGTGCTCACATAGGCCACCAAGGTGAGAATGTGGCACTGAGCTCCTCACTTACAGCACTTTATTCCCTTTACAAACATACCTATCCTGGCAACCATGCTCCTCTCTGGCTGCATTTGTAACTGCTCAGAAATACTTTTCATTTCAAACAGAAAAAGATGATATAGAGTCAAGCATTTTTAATGGTATCAACCACACAAGAAGAACGTGCCATGCAGGGAAGATCTAAAACATCCCCACAGTAAGAACTCCAAAGCCTCCCCTGAGCTCCTCAGCCACCACATCACTGTACTTTGGGTGGGCTCTGCAGACACAGGGAAAACTCCAAATAAAGAAGAAACTAGAACTTATTTTGGTTAAGGTCCTGATGAACTAACTCCACAAGCATTTCAACCAGCACAAACCCCCAGTCACTGAACAGAGGTGGCCTCCCCTCCTCCCCTAGTGCCTGCACAGCTCTCACTGCAAGGGCCCAGTGAGGAGTAACTCGGGTTGAAACTGTTCTTTGGGGGATTAACTTTAACCTGAATTGGTTTCCTGACTTAACTCCCCACGTGACTGCGGAGATGCTGCTGGTGCTCACACAAGGGAGGGGTGCATTTGTTTGGCAATGCCAGCTTAGGGGAGACTAAAATACACAGAGTTCAACTCTCAGGCTGCTGGATTGGTATGAGGAGATCTGGGGTAGCAGGCAGAAGGACAAGGAACACAGGGTTAGTTTTCCAAGAAACAGAATAGTCTGTGAATAAGTCATTGGTTTCTACAGCCAGTATTGCTGTGAAACTTGAAGCAAGTCACTTATTTGATGTGTCAATTCCTCAGCTGTGAAATGAGGACAGCGCTTCCTTACATCACCAAAGTGTCGTAAGTTGAAAATTAATGACTGAGGCACTTGGACATTGGTGCTGAGGGCCGAGTCAGTGTGCAGCTACCAGAGCTGAGTGATTAGTGACAGGGAGGGACTAAAGAATCAACATATTATTTCTGGTGGACTATTTCCTTAGAGGATAAAGCAGAGTAACTGCTACTTACTTGATTGCAAGGAATTGAAAGAGCTCTCTGTAGCTCCCTCGTGGGTGGACACCTAAACAATTAAATAGCCATGACCTAATTTTAGCCAGAAACCTTATGTCACAAGGAATTTACAGGGAGGCGTCTTCTGTATGTGCAAAAGTAATTGACTGTGGAAGGATAGCTGACCAATGTGTTAATGTAGTTGTACAACATTTAGGGACAGACTGTATCCCACTCTCCTTCCTCATATTCCCAATTCCAAAATTTCTGACCATAAAACTGCATGATAAAAATATCATAGGACCAGGACTGAAAGAAATTCTGTGAACATGCTGCTCCCAGCATCGGCATGATGGAATTGGTTCAAGGAAAATTTACATAAAAAGAAGTGTAAGGCTGGTAGGAGAGGTTATAATCCAATCTCACCTTGTGTGTGACAGAGACGATGGGATATCACCAGTGGGTTTTGCATGATGCCTATATACACCAGTGATACAGAAGGCACTTCTTTTGAAGTGCCATTATCATGCACATAGAGCCATCAAGTGATAGAAAACACATCCCAGTTCTAAAAGAAGTTGTTCCAACAGCTTGTTTTCCTCACAGTTACAACCTGTCCCTTCCTTCTAGCCTGAACTTTCCTGCCTTCCTTCAGAAGCATATGGGAAACATTTCTTCCTCTCAGGCTAACTCAGGATTGGTACCACAGGATTGGAAAGCTGGGACTCGAAGTCCCTGTGCTGTGACAAGCACAGCGTGTGAGCCAGGGCAAGTCACAGAACTAGCACAGTTACAGCATGTCCAGCTTCTGTGAGATGTGTCAGGCTCACTGCAAACACCAGGAGCTAAAGGATTAAATAACTTCATGGAGCTGGGCACATGCCTTTCTGTAATTCAATTCTTACCTGCAGAACACCAGGATTAGAGGCTTCCTATCTGTGAGGATCTATTAAATACCATATTGTGCTTGGATACATGAATAGGAACAGAAGCCACGTAAATACTTCAAGCGGTAAATAGTGTTTCAAGTCTTACTGAGCTTATTATGTCTCAAGAGCTCATTATGTCCTCACTAGATTAGAGAGCACATATTCAAAAAACAAACACAAACCTAAGGAAAGCAAGAATCCCCAAAGAAAGCTTTCAAGTTGAAATACCAACCTCAAGATTTTTGCTCCTGCCTTATGATTTTGAGACATCGGGCTGACAATCTAAAAATCCCCAGACAGAGTTAACACTGACATTCTGTTTCCTCAGTCTTCTTGGCCAGGGCATCAGCCCTAAATAATAATTATTATGAAGATGTATCAGTGGGTTAAAAAAAAAAGTGTCGATAGAAAGTGAAAATCCTGAACTATCTGGCTCAGCACTGAAGAGCAATGACATGTCTGCAGCCAGCCTGGCAGTTTGCACTCAAACTGCTGGGAATTTTTGTTGGCTCAGTACAGAGTGGGACTGAGTGCACCCTCAGCAAGTTTGCCAACAACACCAAGCTGTGCTGTGCAGCCCAGCTCTGGGGCCTCCTGTATAAGAGGGACGTGGAGCTGCTGGAGTGAGTCCAGAGGAGGCCCCGGAGATGCTGTGAGGGCTGGAGCCCCTCTGCTCTGGAGCCAGGCTGGGAGAGCTGGGGGGGTTCCCCTGGTGAAGAGAAGGCTCCAGGAAGACCTCAGAGCCCCTTGCAGGGCCTAAAGGGGCTCCAGGAGAGCTGGAGAGGGACCTGGGACAAGGTTAAGGGGGAATGCCTTCAAACTGAAAGAGGGCAGCTTTAGACTATACATCAGGAAGAAATCCTTCCCTGTGAGGGTGGGGAGGCCCTGGCACAGGTTGCCCAGAGAAGCCGAGGCTGCCCCATCCCTGGAAGTGTCCAAGGCCAAGTTGGATGGGGCTTGGAGCAACCTGGGCTAGTGGAAGGTGTCCCTGCCCATGGCAGGGGGGTCAGAAAAACATGATTTTAACATCCCTTCCAACCCAAACGTTCTGTGGTTCTATGAATGCACAAGAATTGTGGACCTTCCAAAGCACATCCTTCTAACCTCATGGGCAGAGAGTTCAGCACCCTGCAAATCGTACCCAAGACTCAAATCTTCAGTGTTGGATCTGTTTTTGTTCAACTCCTTATTTTCTGAGTTTGTGTGGTTAGGCACTGAAACGTGAATCTCTTGATTCCTGGCTACAACACAGGCTTCCTGTGTGGCCCAAGCCACGTCCCTCAAGCTATACTTCAGTCCCCTCCTTGGCAAACAGGTAAAACATCCCTCAGTGATGTTTTATGCATAAATTAACTCATGGAAGCCGGTTTTTCAAAGAGTTCACTAATTAACATTATAGACAACCCTGCAGATAAAGAGATTGTCAGAGCTCTGTCTGGCAGTTCTGGCCCAGGGAAAGAGTGCATTCCAGAAGTGATGATAGAATCTACATACAATTCCAGAAAGCCAAGTTTACTGAATTCCACAAGGTTATTTTTTAGGAATGTGTACTTCTTAGCAACATAGCATAAGGATTTCATACAATGTAGGGCATCTCCTACATTTATTTTTACTTGGAATGAAATGGCACCATCAGTTTTCAGCACAATTTGTATGTCCTATCTTGACAAAATTTCCCTGGAGAAATCTTGAAACACTTAGCAGATCCAGAACAAAGACTTTAATGGTGGAGACCCTGTTTTTCACAAATATACATTTACAAGTTGCTGGAGAATGCAAAGAGAGTTCTACAAAAGGCATGTTGATTATCCTACATTTTCAGATGTAAGCTCAACAGGGTAGATAATGTATTTTTCCTGTGTTTATACAGTGCCTGGTATCTTACTTGTGCTTAGAATAAAGTCCACAGATAACTTCATTTTCTAGGATTCATAAACCAGTATGATATCTAAGTACAAAACTCGGGTATAAAACAAATTAAATAAAACACCAATTTTATCCCAGGATGACCAGAAATAGAATAGCAAGAGGACCAAACATTACTTGTTCTGCCTACACTGACTGAAGAGGGTAAACTGGGAAGAGACTAAACCACAAATTTTAGCTGTTTCTTTGCTTTCCTTCAAGTAGTACAGGATATAACCTGACAGTTCTACAGTCTTCACCATCACATGATTTACTTAACCTAAAATTTGAAAACCTTTTAAGCTCATCTCATTTTAAAATACACATAAATTGAAACAGTCAATATTGAAAGACAAACAAGAGGAAGTTTTTACTAAGTCTGCAATTACATATTCCAAGAGCCACTGAAAAATGGCTCCTGAAAATAGGAGCTGAAATGTGCTTTCAAACAACAGCTGAACTTCTGTCACAAGTTATTGCCGAGCCTACATACCAAATACTTCGAGTTTTCTTTGAAACTTAAGAGCTTACTGATTATAGGAACTAAATAATAATTACTGCCTTTGATTTTAAGACCATAATCCAGGACTGGAAAATGGATTTGTCACTGTTGCTGCACACCAGTGAATTCACTTGCTTCGTTTCCAATGTAACAACACGACCATCTCACTGTAAGGTAAAGATCTGAGCTAACACAGCCAACAAACTGTAATTTTTTAGTTTCTCAGTCAAAACTCAGGTGAACTTCATCTTTGTTTGTCTTTTGTTTGCATACAGGTGGTGTAATTAATCCATGAAAAGCTGTTGCAACATGAATGACACTCAAAATCAGCACGCACAAATATTGTCATTAAGTTTATTTGGAAAAATAAATGGCCTATGATTTCATGACCAGTCAACTAATCAACACCGTGACTTTCCTGAAGCACGTCCTGAACTCCACGTTGTGCCGTGTTCTGTGAGGGAGGAGGGCCCGTCTGCTCCTGCTCCCCCCTGTCCAGAGCGGACAATCCGGAGCTGAACCTCCACCAGGGCTTCCCTCACTCCCTCACACAGTCCTACAGCTGGAACTGGGCCAGCACGAGGCTTCAGTGGGTCCAGCCCGCTCACATCTTAGTGCCATCCAGGGGACTCACCATCTTCACACGGAAAAGAAAGGAAGGCTTTCCAGAGCAAATACAACCATTACAACACTGCACCTTTCAAGTACTGGGAAGGGAGGGAGGGAAGGGAGGGAAGGGAGGGAAGTTTTTATGTGAGGGAAGGGAGAAGTGTCCTTGCTCTAACAAACTAGACACGCCACTGCTAAATTAAACTATTAAACTTTTAGAATATACACTAGTAGGGCAACTAAAGTAGCATTTTAGTGATGATGCAGCTTTGAATCCTCCCAGTGAGGCAGCAATACCAAATTTTTAAACCATTCAGCTGTTTTAGGCTTGTCTCACTAAGCTTAACAATTAGGGAATTTTTGACCAATATACTTTTACATTGCAAGTGGAGGCAGCAGGAAAGAGGCAAGTACCTGCTGGAGGCAGAAACTCTAGTCATAATCCAGACTAACAGGGCAGACAGAGCTCTCAGGTGTGTGGTGCCTGAGTGAGAGGAGTTGGAAAACACTCATATCAACTGCCCTGTGATTTTCAACTTTGCCCTTAAAATTTCCAGTCTTCCCCAAACTGAAGAGAGCAGTTTAACTGAGCCTATGCAAACAGAGGATTACTAGCCCCTTATCTATGCTAGCGATCCTCTGAAATGAGGTGTTACCCAGGAGAGCAGTGGGAAGGTACAGGGCTTGCCACTCCTAGGTGGTACCCGACTTAAATACATTCCCACGGTTTTTCACACTGCCAGAGAGGGGGAAAAAAAAACCCCAGCACCAAACAAGCCAGGCCAGCAGTGGCTCTCTGAGAAAGCTGTGCAGAAGCAGTTGCAGCTCCCACCATCTGGTGCAGTGGGGGAACGACCCTCCCCTTTCCCCAGCCTCCCCCTGGGGCCCAAGAAAGCCGAGGTGGCCCTACAGTTGGGGGGTGCCAGGCTGGCAGGGGGAAGGCTGGCAGCAGCTCTCCCAGAGAGGTAGGAATGATCAAGGAATAAGCAATGACTCACACTATATGATTTATTGCCGGGCAACGTTCCCAAATGTGTTAATAAAGTTGCAGCCAAACAAATGCACATCCCTTAGGTCTTGTCTTTGTTCCAGCATGGCCAAGACAATCGAGTATTATTTTCAAGTAAAACAAGGATAAGATTCTAGACAATATTTCTACCACAATTAATATTTATGTTTCACTGTTCTACTTCACAGCACTGCCAACCCTTGAGTATTCAATAAAAAAAAGGCACAAAACAAGAAAGAAGCGAGCATAAACACAGACACAAAGTCGTAAGATTTTTAACAAATATTTTTGAGTTGTTCTATCTGAGTTTCAGTTTATCTTGGGCACTTTCAGGTGTCAAATACGACAGATAAAAACACTCCATCATCACATTTGACCGAAGCAAGATGCCAATACAAAACCAGTTAATTCAGCTTAATAGTTCATGGCAAAGCTCTTCTTGGAGGTCTTCTGGAAACTAAGAGAAGGAAGGGGAAAGAGGCCAAGGAGTTGTTAGAATTGAAACGTTTAGCTGATCAGCAGTGAAGCTCTGGGGAAGCAGTGATGAAGCACAAAAAGTTGTGACAGGTTTCTGTCAGCAGCCCACTCAGGTTTCACATCCAAGCGGGTGACAAAGGTGTTTCCATCTCTGAGCTTTCACAAGCACTGACAGAGAAACCAGAGTCACACTTTGGCTTCCAGTGGGGCACTGAATCATGAGGGACATGAGACACATTGCACAGGGCAGCTCTGGGAGGGACAGCAGGGATGAAGCCGTCAGAAGGCCAGGGAAGCACAAAGGAATGATGCAGCTGGGAGGATACACTTTGGATCACCCACAGGTAGTTTCTGCATTGAGTCTGGAGAGTCCTTTGTTTCAGAGACTAGATAAGCCATGTCTTAGATGCATACAACCACAATATATTTACAAGCTGTATCCATGATTAAAACCACATGGAATGTTTTTAAATGACAGCTGTGAATCAGCTATATCTCTTTCCAAAAGCCAGAGCTGAACCAAGGCAGAGGGGTGAGCAGAAGAAACACACTATAAAGTGTGTAATTTAAAAATGAAAGCATTTTCCAGCATGAATTATGCTTCTCTTATGGATGAGCAGAAAAAACATGTTATCAAGTAGTTTGTCAAGTAAATGCAATGAATTAATGAAAAATCAACTGATCTACCAGATTTTATTAGATGTAGTGATTTTACAGCCCTCCTACAGCCATCCTTAGGAACTTCCCTACCTCAGCTTCCATTCACTCTTACAGAAAGAGTTAAGCAGTGAATATAAAGGTACAGTTTTTACAGATAATCAAGGTCAACCGTGCTTCTAGCACACATACCTCAAAAATCATCATCTCTATCTCACTCTTTTTTCATTTCTATTTTTGTGCATGTTTTATAACGTACCTAACATTACTACAGTAGTACATGTATACAATTTATTAAAAAAAATACACACATTGGGGTGCACACTCAAATTTATTTATTTTTTAATGATGGGGGTGCACGAGTTTGGAGACCACTGTTCTGAGCAACCTGATACACCAGAAATAACATCTACTGGCTACCTGTGTTAACAAACAGACCAGCACTGGGTTCTCCTCTTGAGGATGCAGTCAGGAGGAAGGACAGATGGATAACTTGTTCACCACTGTCACTACAGCAGAGCTGAGGAACCTCACTTTTGGACGAGGACCTCATACACACAAAACATAATATATAATAAATGCAGATAAAAAGATAGATCTTTAATGGAAGTACAAAACTTTATCTTCTTTTGCATTTTCCTTGCTCCCTACTATTTAGCTCCAAAACTTGTTGGCCAGCTCACTTCACTGTAATTCTGGTTTTGCACACCTCATACGTGATTTAGACGGTGACTGCTGTGTTTTGTAAAATAACTTGTTTAAGAGTAATTCCAGACAGCTTTCTTGCTTCATGCTGGTTCATTTTCATCAACTCAGCTTTACTAGGCAATCTACATGCAAGGCAGAGGTTTCACTGACAGGTTCCTCAACCGTAGCCTGTGGTTGATTTCTCGTTAATCACGCTGGTAACCAGAACAGTTTGCACGAGTTCGGAGAGCTCAGGATACACAACTGAACCCTGCAGATGCTGCAGCAGCTTGGCACAGTAACGTCACATCTCCTGCCTCCAACAGAGCAAATCTGAGAGCAGCAGTTTCTCCTCAAGTAAAACAAAACCAAGAACAATTTTGGTTTCCTGAGCGTGCCAATGTTTGCCTGCTGGTGCCCTGGCGCAGACTGCCACGGGGTGCTGATGAAACCCAAAATGTTTTGGGGTGGGGGGCAGAGGGCACAGCTTTAACAGACCAGATGTGAATTTTGGTGGATTGAAAAAAAAAAAAAAGCCCATTTCAAGAGATGGTTTCTTCCAGTTGTCACAACCCTGTGGTATGCTTGGAACTATTCCAGAAGGCCACTAAAGGAACCAAGATCTCTTGAAGAACTGAGCATGCAGTGCTGGAAAGGCACAGCACAGAGGTGTCCTGGAGGGCCCTGTCTTTCATTCCTTCACAATGATCTCAAACAGTTGGCTACAAAGGGCCTAAAATGCACAGTTGTGTTGTTACCCCTCACGACACTGATAAAGAGATTAAATAAGGCACTGGCAGCTTGTTTTCAAAGGAGGGTGAAAGAAGAACACAAGAAAGTGAATTAGAGATGAAGAACGTTAACATGAAGGAGAAGAAATGAAAGTAATGAAATGAAAGAAATGAGAAACTAGACAGCAAAGGGAAGAGGATCAGGCAATTACACAGCACTTCAGCAGGATGACAGTTCTGCATGCAGCCTATGTGATCCCAGGGCAACAGGGACCCCAAGCAGGAAAATTCTTACATCTACCTAAATGGAAGAGCCAAAACGGAAGGATAAAGATGGAAGTGGCAGAAGTACCATGCTCCAGTCTAAAAATATACACACTGCTGATTTCCCGAGCTGTCTGTGGGGAGCTGCAATCAGCAATGCTTAGGTTTGTTATGCCCTCTCTCAAACTCCTGAAAAGACAAAATCCCATTAATAGAGTGTAAGAAGCAGGTTCACACAAGCTGCATTAAAATCCACTGTGTTTTGATTATATCTAGATTTTAGTTTTGATGACCAGTTAGCACTTTATCATAAGCTTCATACAATATATATACTATAAGAAATTTTAAGTTTTCTTTCTTACATTAAGTTGTTTGAACGTAGCAAACCAATTTTTCAATTGAACACACATCAGAAGAAATTTACCTTGAAAATTTACCAATCTGACAAGAGTTAATGAATTTATGATTAAAAACCAAGGTTGTTTCTTTCTCTGTACAAACTAGCAGGCTCACTGCATAGCCTGATATTATTGCAAAGACCTTAACATGATAAAAGCAAAAAGCATTAAGTGTATTAATGTCTGTTCAAAATGAATTGTCTTTACAGTCTAGCAGTGCATTATCTAGCTTCTGTTCACACTTCTTTGATTAAAACAACAACCACCAACCCAACAAACCAATCACTATTCGTAGCTTAAGAGGCCCAAAGCCTCTTCACAAAACAATTCTGTTGTCACTTTTATATAGGGTTAGTTGATGCTTTCCCCCTCCTTTTTTCAGTGAGCTAAATATAATTAATGACTTCAAAATGGAATTAGTTCAACAGCATTCGGCTGAAAGCATTTATTTATATGAATCCAGTTATAAACCATAACTCAAAGGCACATTGTAAAGAAATTCACTGAAAATTCCAATAGCAGCCTTCTATATAAAAGTGGTATTAGAGCTTAGA